AGAGCCTGTTCACACCTGGGGGTGCTTTATGGTCCCCCATGGGAAACTGCGTCCTCGTAAAAAGAGAGGTGTGCGGGGGAACTAAGCCCTCAAGAAGCAAGAAACCACTTCTCCTTGGAAATAGGGGATGTCCCCAAAGTAAAAAAAAAAATAATAATAATTGGTGCCCTTAAGTAAATAAAGCTGCCACCTGTCAGGAGCCCCCTCCCTGGCTGCTCCTCGGTTCCTGCACAGCTCTCACCCGTGTCTCAAAAGGAGTGCCCAGGGTAGTGCCGTGTCCCTGCGGCAGCCCCGGCTGCCTGCGCCTTTCCTGCGCCCGGGAGTTCCCTGGAAAGGGAGAGTTTCGCCGGGCGTGGGAGGGCACCAGCCGGGCGGTGGACGGGCGCTGCCGCCGGTGTGCTTTGCAGGTGGCCCCCGGCCCGCCCGGCTGCAGCCCGCTTCTCTGTCGGTCTGCGTAGAAATGTAGAGGATTGCGGAAAACCAGCTTCGGAAGGAGAGCGGCTCAAAAAACGTTACCCCTCCCGAAAAGGCCCGAGCCCAGATGCCGGACCGTTTGCCCTGGTATTTATGCAAGGCACCCCTCGACAGAAGCACCCCGGGCAGGAGCCTCCCTCGGTCCCGGGGGCGGCATCACCTGCGCGGTGGCGGCCGGGGCGCGGGGGGAGCCCCACTCGGGCCGGACACCCCACCCTCGGTCCTCGGTCCCGGGGGCGGCACGCGGTGGCGGCCGGGGCGCGGGGGGAGCCCCACTCGGGCCGGACACCCCACGGGAGGGGGGCGCCCGCACCCCCGTGCCGGTCCCCGGCGGCTGCCGGTGCTGCGAGCGGAGACCGAGGAGCGAGTGGGTGTACGGGAAAGTTCGTCTCAAGCTTCCCCGTATTTAGCCTCTTCTCTGCTTTCTCGGTTTGTTTTCTAGGAAGCCAAGTGCTTATTTTGGTCGCCTTGTTTAGGTAATTTCTTATAAATTCCTCATCCTCTTCCACGCCTATATTTATAAATATTTTTATATACACAACAAATAAGAAACTGAATTCATCCTCGTGATTTTGGCCACCAAAAGAAACAAAGCGAAGGTGTTCAGACCTTGACAATTCTAAAGAATGAGAAAATCATGGTCGCCTCTCAGTGTGACATTTCTGAGCAGAAAGAAAACCTGGATTCTGAGGTTATGATAAAAATACCAACGTTGCTACGATGCAGGGTCTCTTTGGAAGGAAAAAGAGCTGATCCCAAACCTGGGAAGCTCGACGGTTCCCTTCTTCGTTTCTTTCTAAATCCATCTTGTCCCTTTAATACAAATGAACTTTAAGCTCCCCCTGTCTTTTATTATTTAGATTCCTAGTCTTAATGACGCCAGGAGCAGCGCAAGCACACTCGCTAATAATCGTCGCGAACTGCATTTCAAAGAAACATCCCTGGAAGAAAAACACCGTCGTTTAAAAATACATAAATAGAGACTCCACCAAAAATGATAATGCGGAGTCCCTGCTGATGATGGGCTTAATGCAACTGCTGCAAATCAGCACCTGCGTGCTAGATAAGGCAGATAACACCTCCAACAGTTACTTCCAGCACCCCCGTCCTCCTCGGTTTTATTTTTAGATCATTCATTTAGTCGGATGGAGGTGGGGTTTTTGTGTGGGCTTTTTTTTTCTTCAATTATTCTTCTTCTTGTTATTTTTCTTCCTTGATCCTTAGGAGCAAAAGCGAGGGAAGCGTGAACTGGTTTAAATCTCGAGACGTGGGTCTATCTCGGGCCTTTAATAGCAGCTCTCGGGCGGCTCGTCCCGGGACACTGAGATAGCCGAGATCTCCGCAGCCAGCACTGTCCAGGGTCATCTTTTGTCCCTGCCACAATAAACAAACACTTGCTCCTCTCATGTAAATGAGCAGCGATCCGGATGCACCTTAAAACACTGGGAGAAGTCGTTGCTTTTGAAAACGATGTTCATTTTGTCTGACACATAACTGCATAGATCAAATGGCTGCAGAAAGGTAGCAATTTGGCAGGGAAGTATTTTCTAAGCTTAGATGAAAGTGTGCTCGCGGCGTCCGAAAATGCCCGTCTCACCTCCCACCTGCTTCCTCAGCCCCAAGTTTGCGCGAAAAGATTAGACAGGAGGGATTTTCGTTAAAAAATAATGATGCGAGGAACCAGTGGCACAGTTCACATAGACCCGAATCGGGGACGCTGAATCAGTGCTGCTTTACCTACCAGGGATTCAACACAACTGCAATAATTTCGTCGGATAATTAAGTAAATTATACCTTAAACATTGGTAGCTTACAAGTTGTAATCAGTAATTCAAACTCTTGACAATTATGCAAATTGAGCGCAGGCTGGCTCTCGGACTTTCTCGCTTTTGCAAGGAGGACTTTTTCCGAGTTTATTTCGCCCAGAAGCCGTCGGACCCGCCGAGTGTGGGGGCACCGGCGCTGCGCCTCCCCGCGCGGATTTTGGCAACGTCCTTCCACGCGTGTGTGTG